CCTTATTTTTTTTCTGTTTATTTCATTCAGGACCACACTGTTTAATAGTTTCCTCCCTCAGTGATCATTTATACCTTCCAGTTCAGCTTAAAGGTCAACCTCAAGAAAGCTTAACTCCAGGAATACTTCCCAATTACTTTGCCTTGTCTGAGGCTTATGTCATTTTTCTCATTGATAAATTATTATTAACATTAAAAAAGCATAGATTAAAATGGGATGACAAAAAGTATGACATTCACTTATTTTGAATGAAAGTAAATGAGTGCAGAATTAAGTGTGTTGACCTACCAGTGGTTCAAAACGAAGACTATGGCATGCAGAAAGAGGTCATGTGGTGGATTAGAAATGATTCACCCACAGTTCACACTCACACCATATCTCCTAAATAATAACCTCCCAGTTCTGAATAGTGCCCAGAAGACTAAATTAGTATCAGTGTCTTAAGCAATGCATGGATTTCAAACTTGTGATATTTGTGCCATAGTGCAGTACACACACACACACACACACACACACATTTTTTATATATATATGTATATCTCTCTTTGGAGATAAATTTAGAGAATGTGGAAGGTATATGGTCACAATTACTTAGATTTTAGTGTAGGCATTTCATTTGGCTAGAATTGAAATAGTTACTTTTATGTAAAATGAAATGCTTTATTAAAACTACTAAGAATGATATCATCAAAGTTATCAAATATCATTGTTATTTTATTTTTACTATTTATTAGGACATGGGCTCATTGTGTAGTACAGGCTGTTGTTGAACTCACTGTTTAGCTCAGACTGGCCTTAAGCTTGTGAAAATCCTCTGGTCAAGTTCTGGGAATACAAGAATGAGTCACCATGCCCAGGTTTGAATGTTATTTTTATTTTTTGACAGGGTCTCCCTAGTCACAGCATGCCTGCAGACCAGGCTTACCTCAACCTCACAGAGATCTGCCGGCCTCTGCCTCTGCCTCCCAAGTTCTGGGCTTATCCTGGCTGAATGTTATTTTTCAACTAAAGAAGTTAGAAAGATTTAAGTTCTGGAGAGGAGAAGACTTATGTGAAATTTTATCCTTTCATATTAGCCTGATGAAATTATTCCTAATTTTTCCTACTTCGTTTTTTCTTTATGATTTTAATGACAAGGTATGGTCCATTTTGTCTCCTTTTCATGTATTGTGGAAAGCTAGAGGGAGCACTTAGTTTACCTACATGGTTTCTTTTGCTGTTATTCCCAACCCTTAGCCTTCTTCACAACTGGAAAAGTCATCCACTGCCTAAGCAATTCCCTTGTCCACCATCTTGAAGAAGTCTATTGTGGCCAAAAGTAAAGCAGAACCTTCATCTCTTCCAGCCCCTACTTCTTATTCTGTTCCTAGACTAGAGAGAAATTTAGTCTTATGATTAGCGTATTTAACATGAATATATATCTGCCCACATTTGAGGATTGTTTTTAAGTTTTGAATTTATTTTTGTTGAAGGGATTTTGAAATTTATATTTTGAAAAAAAAGCATGTCTCTGTAATATGTTTATAATAAAAAGATGTAATAATATTTTAAAGCTGGATGTCAGGAGGCACACTTGTAACCTGAATACTGGGGAGGTGGGGATGTCAGAACCCTTGGGCTCCTGGCAGGCCACCTGGTTTATTTGGTGATCTCCAGGCCAAAATAGGTGAACAACTCTGAGGAACAACTCCTAACTCCCAAAGTTGACTTTTGGCTACCACACACACACACACACACACACACACACACACTCCCACACTCTCATACACACATGCCCTTGCACACACAGATACACATGTATATACACATACACACAAAAAGCTGAAAATAATAATAAAAATATATAATGGCATTTGAATGCTAAGAGATTTTCCTATCATTGAAAAATACTAAATTAAATTTACTGATGCACTCATTTAATACTTATAGATATGGTGCCATAAAATATTACAGCATTTATTCCATGTTCCTAGGATGTCACTGTTGTCACCTAGAAACAAACTGTTCAGTATTTTAAAGTCTATCAAAGGTGATTCAAGAAGCAGAACTCACGTCAATCTCTTTGAATTAGGGTCCAGTCAGGAGATAGAAACTACCCAGTAATTTGAATAGGAAAACTCTGCTATGAAGAATTACCAACTCCCACAGGAATTGGAGTAACTGTAATGATTTCGTAAGGTACAAAGTAACTCTAAAGGATTGAAAAGAGCAGACTAGGGAGTGAGGCAGAATTTGCAGAGAAGGACAAATGGTGAAAAGGACACTTGTCCCACACGAGCCCAGGACTCCCTGGAGAAGGCGCAGCTCCGACTGGGGAGAGGGTGAATAGTGGAGACTTCACTGAGGTTACATGTTGTGGATCGCATATGAAGTCGCCTTCTAGGGTTCTGGAGGAAATTGCCCACATGGAGATGTCACACTGTGGGACACACTAAGTACCTTCTCCTGGGAAGATATTGCACCAGGGAACTCCCCAGGAAGTTCTGGGGTGGGGTGGGGTGCAGGAGAAAGATGAAAAGGGAAGCGGTTTGCTTGGCTGATTAGTGTTCTTAGGAGCCTATTGAAAGATACTTCCAGAATCAGAGTCCTGTATTATCTAGTTTCCTCCACTGGCTTTTGAAGTTTCTGCTGAAAATTAGTCATGCCATGAGCAGGGAGAAAGACAATGAACGCTGATGTTGGAGTTGGAAGTTTTAGACCGACAACTGGTCTCCAATCTATAGTCATTATTTCAAACTGCCTTGACTTATTTACCAGAAAAATGGGACATTTAACAAAATGAAGGAAAAATGAGAGGAAGAAAGGAAGCAAAATATGATAAGGCATTCCATGGAGTGTTATGCTAATATTTCTTTTTTCTTTAAAATTTTTAGGTAGACTCACTTTAGTTATTCAGGAGTCATTAACTTTTAGGACACTGACTTGTTCTTTGATCTGAAATTATAGACAGGAGGCTCCGGGGTTATAACCAGAGATTACTTTAATCTGCAATACAAATGATTTTTTGATTCCAATTTCCTGATGAAATTCTTAATGTAGGTCATGTTCTGGTAATAAAGGTTCCTTAACGATATATAGGCTATTTCCTTCATGTACATATTGAGATATGAGCAAGTTATGTAATTTCTGAGTCTCTGATTCTTCATGTGAATGGAATTACAAGCTACCTTAGAGATGTGACTTGAAATTTTAATGTAATATTTTAAAGCACTTAGGACAATTCTTTGTGCCCAAAAGTGCTATACAAATGCTCAAAGGTTAATCTCAGTATTTCTATTTTTCTCATTAAAAGATGTTAGCTGAGGAATGTCAATCCTTCCTGCACTGCCAATTTGTAAAAATTTGTTTATTTAACATTTTGTCAGATTAACCTGATTCCATTGTTTAATGGCAATTAAAAATTAGAAAAATAAATTTATGTTATGGAATGTGCAGTAAAATGCAGCTCACTAGTATTTCTGTATCTTTAACAATGAACAAACACTACTTTAAACTGACAGGATTTGAAGACAACATTGGCAAGGCTCTTATTTATTAATTTTTTGTAAAGAATATTTGAACAGTAAGACTTTTTTTCTGTTCTGTATTTTATTGAGTTTTGGGGTATTTCTTATAATATATCTTATCAAATTTAGATACCCTCCCCCATCCACACTCCCCCAAAGTCCCCCACCACTGGATTTCATGCATTCTGTCATATATGGTAAGGTCTATCAAGTCAAGAATTTGTACTCAGAAGCCCCTTAGTGCAAGTTCATCCACTGGAGTCCAGTCAGCCTATCTAGAGTCACTCCCTTAAAGATCAACTTCCCTTACCTGACAATAATCAGTTGCCAATAGTTTCTATGCTAAGGTTAGGGCTTGCTGCCAATTTCCCCAGTTCTGTGCTTGGATTTTGTCTGATTGAGTTGGCATGGGGCTCGTGCATGCTGTCAGCATTGTTACAAGTTCATATGAGCAAGTTCCCAGAGGCCTAAAAGCCTCTGTTTCCTTATGCTTCTGGACCAACCCTGGCTCTTACAATCTTTCTGCCCCCTCATTGCTATGGTCCCTGAGCCATGGGTGGGTGAGGTTTAATATAGGAGTCCTATCCAGGGACACACACTGCAGTCTCTTATTCTCTAAAAGTTGGTCAGTTGTGACTTTCTGTGGCATCGAACTCTGTTGCTTCAGGAAGCTCTGCTACTGAGAGTTGAGGGATTTATTAGTTTTCTCTCTACCCCCTGTTCTGCTGTGGTCCATGAGCCTAAAGTGTGGAGGTTTCACTGTAGATGTGTCACTTAGGGCTGGGAATCTCTCCGACATATATTCTCTGTGTATGACAAGTTGTGAAACTCTGTCATAATTTTATCTATTGCCAAAAGAAGCTTTTTAGATGATTGCTATGTGGTGTACTTGTCTGTAAACGTAAGGATCCATATTTTGCATAAAAAATTTCATTTGTCTAGAGATATGCCAGAGTTGGGCTTTCTCTAAGATCTGTGACCTCTCCAGGCATGTGTATTTGGCCATGAGTACAGTGCCACCCTTGAGTTCCTTTCCATTGAGAGAACTTTAAGTCTAATTAGATAGCCATTACTGCACCAATAGAGAAAATTGGCTATGCAAGTTGTTGTGGTTATTAGACTTTAGAGCCGAGTTGCACCATTGATTGAATCACTTCTTTAGCAGCTTGAACAACACCCTCTAAAACTATGAGAGCTAGTCTTCAGGGTGGAAGCTTCTAGGTCAGTTCCAGCTCCATTACTCTAAGTCTTGTGTCTGAGGTATGTCCTGTCTTCAGCAATAGGTTCTTACCTTCAAGTTCTGGGAGGTAATCAAGGGAATGGTAAGCCTTTCAATAAGGCAATTCTGATGCAGAACACTCCACATTTTCAATGTGATGGTTAGTATTAAAATTAAGTAGCTTTAAATTTTCATTCTTTAAAATAAATATGAAAGAAGTTCTATAAAATGTGTAAAATCCTTCAAAAATCATTATTTCCTCTTTTTCTTTATAGATAGTCGAGGAAAATATTCTGAAGTAATCAAAAAGTCCAATGCGATTGAACTGCTATTCACGATTTATCCTCCTCGAGGTGCCAAAGTGAACGCTAATATGCATTTGAAGTCCACTTGGCTGAGACCTATGGTGAATGGTGAGGAGGGCTATAAATACATAGGTAAGAAGCTGAACCTCATTTCTGATCATAAGGAAGACCTGCGGCTCCATGTTACAGAGCTCTCTCATCTCAGATGATGTGAGGTGGCACATGTGCACTCTGCAGTGTTCCCTTCCTAGAGAGTTTGTCTGCAATTTTAAAACTGGGTGTTTTGTGCTTTGGTTCCCTCCCTGGAGTACTGGAAACAGTGTGCCGATCTATTCCTGGATGATGCACATTTTCTGTTTTCACTTTTGGATTACCACGTGTAAAGCTGCCGGAGGCTCATGTACAGCACTATGCACTGACATACATTTTTTCTCCCCTCTTGACTATAATGTTCTAATTGTGATCCTGCCATTCCATGTCCTACACCAATAGGGATGTGAAATTTGCATCTTTTCCCACAGCGGTATTTTTACTTACTGCAATCAGTAGTTCTATAAGTAAACATTTATTGGTTTTAATTGGAATTTCTGAAGTAAGTTATGATATTTGCAATCTTTTAATGTATTTACAGTTTACATTTTCTTTAGTGAACTCTGCTCAAATATTTTGGCTATTTTTATATTGTCTATTGTTTAGAATTATTAAATTTTAGTCTTTTAAATATTCTGGATACAAACCCTGCATCAAGTGCTTTGAAAGTGTTTTGCCTTATCTTTTAATAGCATTTTTTGAAAAGTTTTTAGCTGAAGTCCGGTTTAGCACTATGTTCCTTTATGACTTATGCTTTCTCTATCATTTTCAGGAAATTCTGACTGGACTTGTGGTTGCAAAGGTGTTATTTATAAAATGCTTAATATATTTCATTGTATAATTGGTTTTGAGTAAATTTTTGTATATGACTCAAGGTACAGATTGTAATTTTTAATTGCATTTTATATTTTAGTTTTCCAACAGTATTTACTTAAGTATTTACTCTTGCAAATTAACTCTGCATAATTGTCAAAGCCAACTAGATAAAGTGTATAGTTGGCACACACATACATGAATAAGTGGCTAAAGCCATTGGTTAGTAAGGAAATGAAAATTTAAAGTGTAGTGGGGTAATGATACTTATCTATTAAAAAGTCTACAACCCTTTTGATATTGAAAAAATCACAATAATATCTGATGAGGATGTCAAGCTTATATGAAATCATAAAGTCACCTTAGAAATATTTTCACACTTTCTTATAAATGTCAATATAGTCTAACTATGAAGATTAACTCTCCCCTCTCCAAGATGATTACTCAAGATAAATGAAATATTTTTTACAAAAACCTACACATGGATATATATATATATAACATCATTTGTAAAGTTTGTAAGCAATATAAATGCTCTTTAATTGGTGAATGGATAAACAAAATTTCATTATCCATATACTGATACTCAGAAATAAACAAGAATAAACTATTGATAAGCACCACAGCATGGACAAATCTCAGATGTGTCCTGATGGGTGAAAGAAAATAGACTCAGGGACCATGTACTGCATGGCTCCATTTAGTGACAATTTGAAAAAGAAGTAACAGAAGGAACATCAGAGCTGTGACTGCTGAACTTAAGGCTGTGCAAAATAGCCATACCATGGAGCTCTTAAAGTTATTGAACTGTTCTGTATCTTGATGAGCGTAATTGTGTATATGTGTATGCAGTGGTCATACAACTATAAATTAGTCAACACTCATGCATACTTTTAGTTTATAAACTAAAAGTAGCAAATTATACTATCTGCACATTTTAAAGAACAGGCACAAAGTATAAAGAGAATTTATGCCAGTGACCAACAATTCTGTAAAAGGTGTGCAGCATCGTTAGTCACTAGGGAAATGTACATGAATCTACAATGGGATATTACCACACATCTACACAAACGAATAACATTTGAAGACTGGCCATCCCAAATATTGGCAGAAATGTCCAACCACTGGACCATCAACATCCTCCTAGTACAAAATGTAAATTAGCCCAAATGCTTTGCAAAATAGTTCGCCACATTCTTAAAAATTAAACATACACTGTACTGTTCAGCCCAGATATTACACACACTGCTTGTCATTTCTACTGACCTATCCAAGAGTAAAGGAAGTATCTTCCCATTCAAAAAATTATGTATAAACATTCACAAAACCGTGTTTTGTAAAATAAAAAAACTAGAAGAACGCAAAGGACCAACTACAGATGAATGCAAAAGTATGTTGTGATGTATTCATGCAGAATACCTAGATATGTAAAAGAAAAAAATCTCTTTTTTTTGTCTTTTATTTGAGACAGGGTCTTTCTGTAGACCCAGCTGGCCTGGAACTCATGGTGTAGACCACGCTGGCCCCGAACTCAGAGAGCTCCACCTGCCTCTCCTTCCCACATGCTGAGATTAAAGGCATGTGCCACCACACGCAGCTAGAAAAATCTCTTGATACTACCAGTACACTTGACAACACGGGTAAACTATATAAGATAATTCTCCTGAGTGAAAGAAGCCAGACAAAGCTACTGTTTGCTGTGTAATTCGGTTTATAATAAATTCTAGAAAATGCAAAGTAACCAATAGCAACTAATGTCGTTTTATGGTTGTGTGAGAAAAAAGGTTGGGGTGGGAGTGAGAGAGAATGGGTTCAGAAATTTAGGGTGATGGAAATGCTTTCCATTTCGATTAGGTAATGTTTTCATGAACAAACATGCCAAAATTCATCACATTGTACATTGTAAATATATGCAGTTGATTGTTTGACATTTATATCTCAGTAAAAGTATTTTAAAAAGATGAAAATAAAAGAATGAAGATAGCAAACTTTTATTGGGGGGATAATTTTTAAAGATTTTTCTTCCTCTTCAAGTGTTAAAATGTGCATATTAGAGCATGCGCGCTGTGGGAAGTGGGCCTGGATCAGCTCTGCAGTAGAGTGCTTGCCTTAATGTGTGAGTCCTAAAGTCAGTCACCAGCACTGCTAATAAATAAAGAGTCACAACTCTTTGGTAGTTCATTAGACTGGGGTATTGAAGTCATATTAATATTAATATCAAGTCATACTTAAATGTACTGTTTGGTAATAATCTAGAGAAAGACAGAGAGTTTATTTATTTATTTATTTATTTGAAGATGAAAGAGAACATTGTAATTTTAAGGTCTTGGTTCCTATAAAACCAGTCAATATACTGGTTGCTCTTTATTTTACCTTTGTAATTTTCCACCTAAGATTACTAGAACATGAATTATTTCATTCTGAAGATTCGTCTTTACTATTTAAAGCCCATTTACTAATATTTTGTTAAAGTAAGCAAATAAAAAGGAAATACGCCTGTGGTTTATGTCGTAAGTTGAGAACTCTATTGTCAGTTTCTAGGCTGACTTTCCTTCTTCTTTGGGGAAGTGGCCAGAGCTTGCATCCTTTGGAATTTCAGTTATTATTAAATTGATAAGAACATTGAAGCATTTCCCTTGAAAATGTTTTTTCTATTACAGAAGTGCTTTCTGAATCCAAGTAACTCCTTAACTATAAACACTTCAGGGGAGATAGGTCTTGGAATTTATGATGTGTTCCAATATTAATAATCCACCATGTAAGCACTCTTGGTTATTGATTTCACTCTGTGGACTCAGATATGTATCATCTGCAGGACCGAAGAATAGTTAACAGAGATATGAGTGCTGTGTCAACGCCCTGGGTTACCAACAAATTAGCATCAGGAATGCACGTTCTAAAATTTCTCCTGCTGTGTCTGTATTTTTTAACCCTATAATTCTTAGAACAGTGACTTGAGAGTAATTGAAGCACTGCATACATCAAAATTACAAACTTTTTAATTTTCATAAATAATTTCTTCTGGTGGTAATTTTGTAGTCTTAGACCCAGTAGAAAACATAGTCTTCACTTTTTTCCAGTGATATATGTCTTATCCAAACTTACATTCAGAAGGGATGTTTTGGAAAGCTAGTCTTTTACCATGTCTCTGGTTATTTTTCTTTATGAGCCATATGTCCTTGGGCTATCTTGACCCTCTGGTCCATCACAATACTGCCAGACAAGTTCCAGTTTTCCGTTAAGCTTTTATGACCTTGGTTAATTTCAATCTGGAAGTTGTAAATTATATTAAATACCATCTTAGCCTTATAATTCTTGGAATTAAATGGAGTTGCATTAAATAGGTAGGTGTGCCATTATCTTTCAAGGAAATCATTTAGTTATTATAAATCTATGATTAAATTACTTTCTCGAACCAATGGTCCATTTTGAGCAAAAATCATATTATTGTATTAGTGTAAGGCTTCTAATTAGTTCAGATAATGACAAGGATCTTTAGGTCTACTACTTCATTTAAGTATATCATTTGTAATGTTTCATATTATAAATTCTATATATCATTATAGCATATGGTTATTTAAGTTACATAGTTAATACTAAAACCTGTTTTCCTGGTCTAATCACTGCTTTGTTACCCATTAAAAATGTACAGCACTGGGGAGGAGTCAAGGGGGGAGTTAAAAGGGGGAAATGGGGTGTGGATATGACTCAAAATACATTGTATACATGTATGAAATTCTCAAAGGATAAATATTATTTAAAGACAATGAAAGTACAAGTTACCTTTTCAATGTCATTCAATTTGCTTCACTATCTTGAGGCAAGAGTTGGTATGTATTAGCCGTTTTTAAAGACAGTCATCCTGGACAGACAAGTCTCAAGTTTGATTATTTTTTTTCTCAGAATTTTCTACTTGAAAACCTAAATATTACAATGTTTCTTTCTTCTATACCCCTTATTGAATATAATTTTTCAAATGTTCACAAATTGAAGCTATGCATTCATTGTTATGACTCTCTTTTCTAAAATATAGGCCATTTAAAATATTCTTCAGAAGCTACTTCCAAATCTTCGTTTGTTTTTAGCATTTCTCTATAAAGGATTTTCTAATTTTATCATTTTTTCATATGTGATAGAATTTGGAATAAGACATGATAACCTATATATTTGTATTTATTTTGAATATAATTGTGTCTACAAACAGAATCCTTATATCTTTGGACCTTTTA